ACTCTTCAAGGGCAGCCCCATGTAGAGCGCGTTACAGTAATTCAGTCAACCAATGTTTTTTTATGAGTCGGTTTTGCTGAAATCCAGAAGTAAACGCCAGCTTTTGTCAAAATTGTTGTAAAAGAAAAACAATCACATGACCAAATGGCATTTTGCAAATAGCCATAAATGTGGCTTGGTTTCCAAGTGCCCAACATGCCGGGGGAGGGGGGGGCACAAGGAGGAGCCATTGGAACTTTGGAACTGGGTTGTAAGTACCGCCAAGCACCATTCATGACTTTCAATGGTTGTTATGTGACCAGTTGTAAGCCGAGGACTACCTGTACAGACTTTTTATAATTCTTGGGTATGACAGCTAGAACACTCTGACCGTAGCCATGCTAGTCAACACCAAGCTACATACCTTCTCTTCTATTGGTAAGAAGGAATTTCCTGACTATTAAGCAGTGGAACAACCTGCCTCATGAAATTATAGGTGCTCCATTGTTGGAAAACTGTCCAGAATGAAATGAAGATTCCTGTAATAGACAGAAGGCTGGACTAGAACCGTGATGGGGAACCTATGGCATGCGGAACCATATTTGCCAGCACGACAGCCCTCAGCTCCGGCGTGCACTGGCCAGCTGATTTTTGTTCTTCCAGAGGGCTGGGGAGGCTGTTTTCGCGCTCCCCAGGCTTCAGGAAAGCCTCCAGAGCCTGGGGAGGCGAAAAGCAGGCCCAATGGACCAACTGAAAGTTTGTCCTGAACTTCCAGTTGGCCCGTTGGGCTGTTTTTTGCCCACCCCTGACTTCAGGAAAGCCTCCGGGAGGGTGAAAAACAGGCCCAGCAGGCCAACCGGAAGTTCGGAAATGATCTATTTGCGCCTTCTTGTGGGTCTCCGGGGGTCTGGGGGCAGCTGTTTTTGCCCTCCCCAGGATTCAGGAAAGCCTCCGGAGCCTTGGGAGGGCAAATTTTCCCCCCTGTGGCAGGGTGGGTGGGTGTTGTGCACACAAGCATAGGTGAGGGGGGAACATGTACACGCACGATTTTGGCACGCCTTTAGAAAAACATCTGGTTGTTATACAAGCGCAGAGAAATCAAAACCTTGACATCTCTGATGGGTTGAAGGGAAACTGATCATTTCAGTTCTTAGTGAAACTGTAGAGTTTATATCTATCAAAAAATTTGGACAAAAAAAAAAGAGGGCTTTGTTTTCCTTGGAGTTGTCTATCACCTTTCTATGAAAATTGACACGATAGCAGTCTTCCAATATTTCAGGGGTTGCCATAAAGAAGAGGGAGTCAAGCTA